AGAACAGCTCCAGGGGGCGCCCTGCTGACACTGCGCGTGGCTACAGAGGCCACGTGGGCGGGACTGGACCCACAGTGGGTGTGAGTCTTGGCAGTATGCCTTGTGATCCGCTTCCCTTTTGCCCTCTTTCCAAGGAGGCTGACACTCCTTCCATGCTTTAGGGGGAATGAGGCTTCAGCAGCAGGGACCCCGGCACTCGGGTTGCAGGCCTCCAGCCCCCTTTGTTCTGGTGTCATGGGCCACAGGGAGCCAGCACCTTCGGCTGCTTGTCCTTACACATCTGTGTAAGTAATAGCCTGTCTGGATCTAGATCGGGCCAGTGTTTCTTCCCCAGCCACAGCTCAGTTAGGCCTTGGTCCTGCCTTGTGCTTGACAGTTTCAAGGACTGTCTTTAACTTGTTTCCTAGGCCTACCCTAACAGAATACCACAGAAAGATATCGCCTTGCAGTCTTTGAGGCTAGAAGCCCAGATCAAGGATGGGAGCCCTCGAAGGGCTGTGAGGAAGGATTTGTTCCGGGCCCCTCTCCTTGGCTGGCAGACGGCCACCTTCTCCCTGCGTCTCTCCACGGCTTTCTCTCTGTGTTTGTGTTCGTGTCCAAATTACTCCTTTTTATAAGGACACCTGTCATGTTGATTAAGGCCTACTTTAAGGAACTCATCTTAACTAATTGCTTCGGCTACAACCCTGTTTCCAAAATAGGTCCCATTCTAAATATTGGAGGTTAGACTTCAACTTACGAATTTAGAGGGGGGACACAATTCAACTCATAACAATGTCTTTGTCCCCAACCAGACTGTAAGGTCCTGACCAGGAGGGTCTCAACACATGCTTGGCAAGTTTACAGTAGGTAACAGAAGAAAGTGAACTAAATAAGGAGTTGTCAGGAGGAGGCTGCAGGGGGACCTGGGAGTGGCATTACTCCAGTCATATTCCCTGCTTGTCAGTGACCCTGAACTGGCCATGTTCGAGAAGGTGAATGAAGGTTGTAAACCAGACGTGCAACTTACTAGTTTCCAACAGGGACCGGAGGGACTCCCTCTAGCCATGGTGTTCCTTGCCTTCTGTGGGGCTGAGTTCCTGCAAAGCCACATTCGTCACCCCAGGATTCTGAGAGCCTTGGTGAGCGCCAGGGAGGCCCCTGGAGTGAATGCAGTTCCTGGGGAGGCTGGAGGAGGAGCTCAGAGGTGATACCACCCGTTTTCCAATGTTACAGGTGAGGAAACTGAGGCCAAGAGGCTGAGCAGGTTGTCTGCTCTTGGTGGTAAAGTGACAAAAGCTGAGACAAGAGCCCAGGGTCCTGACTTCCTGTGGAGTGCTTTTCCCCACGAAGCTTTCAGTCATCCATTTGTCTTCTCTTGGATGCACTGTCCCCAGTGTTAATGTAGCAGATGCCTTTGTACCCTGTCACAGAAGATAATGCCTCAAGGCCATGGATTCCCACAGCCTGGGTGGAGGGTGATTGCAAGGAGCTGGTCGCAGAGAATGTCCCAAACACCTGGTTCTTTAGCAGACCCTCCTGCCCCAGCCCTGGGAGACTCCCTGAGTTCACGCTCAGGCACTGGGTTTACTTGTGGTCCTTCACGTGTAGTGCCAGATTCCATTCTAGTGGCTGAAGCAGGCTACTTCCATACTCAGCACTGCCCTATGCTTTAAGTTTTTTAAAAATAAGATCAACGTTCATGCTCATAAATAGAGTGCAAGCTCCTGTGAGAGACTTTTCCTTTATCTTTGTCTCCTATTCCTGGTTGTATAGAGGCTTAGTAAATAGATAAACACGCCAACGCAATTTATGGGAGAAGCCCTTCCCTGCTTGTGATGGTTGGCTGTGAATGAGAGGAGGCAGATTTGAAGAATCCATTTCTTTTCCTGTCTACCAAAGTCTACTGTTAGGTTTACTTTGGCAATAACTTTCTTCCCGCCCTTCCCCTCCCCTGCCCTCCCTCCAGCTTCCAGACAGTGGACCTTGAAAGAGGGCTTTTCTTTAGGGAAGAGGGTTTAATGACTCCAAACCAAAGGGTTGTCAGAGTTTTTCCCCAAAATCCTCTGTTTAGGAATATCAAGGGTTTCCCTTTAAATTTAATTAAAAATCACCACTCTAAACCAGCCATAAAAAGGAGGAGCAGGAGGTAAAAAAATGGCACTCAACCAAATCCTCAGTGTGAATCTTCAGTGTAGACCCAGTTTTCCTTACTGGAACACCAAGGCAAACGTGATAAATATGATCAAAAATGGTGCCATTTTAAAGAGCTCATTAGTGCATCTGGGAATCACCAAGAGAAATTCCAGGGAATCAGTGGCTTCTGGGAAATGCATGTTCATAGAAAAGGGATCCACCATTTTCTCCCTGAAGATCAATTCATTAATGTCATGACATAATTTCCAAGCAATGTCTTACCTAGCCTGACACTTTTTAAGACCCAGCGGATATTAACAGGCCACTCCTTTGGGCCTCAGTGATGCATAAGGAGTCTCCAAATGTTGATCTGAGCCTTTAAGAAATATTCATGCTTGATCCAGGACTGCTCCCAGAGTGTGTCTTCACTGTGCTCCATCCTCTTGTACAGAATCTAAGGTCAGAGTTGGAAGAAACAGTAGGAATCATCTGTAACCATCCATCTGTAATATCATTTCAGATATTGCCTCCCCATGAGGTCTTTCCTAACCTGGCAGCAAACTAATTACTTCTTCCTCTGAGCTCCCATGCCCCTTGCATGGTGTTGGTTACAGATTTTTCCCAGCATGCATTATAATTATTTGTTTGCATGTCTGTCTGCTGGGCTGTGGGCTCCTGAGAGCCAACTTCATGTCTTAGGCCCACATTCTACCCTGGCTCCTAGCAGAGTTCCTGGCAAACATTGGCTGCTCAACTGATGCTTGTTAAGTGAATGAAGGAGGGCCCCACTTTCTACAGGTGATAGAAGCTGGGGACGCACAGGCAGCTGATGTGCCCTGGGTAAGATAAAGATCTCTTCTCATTGCTTATATTCTTCTGCAGTGAATTATGAAAGAGATTGAACTAATAGTAAAATGTATTGTTTTTATTTTCTGTGTTTACTATCTCTGACCAGACATGTAGAGGCCACACATTTCCAGCTTGTTTTGTGTGTTGCCTGATTGTCTTATTGAATGTGGTTGACTCTGGTTAATGATGGGAAACTCTTTGCCCCAAAGAGAACAGGAACTTCTTGCTCAAATCTCAGGCTTGTTTGGCCTGCTTGTCACCTTTCAAGAAAATGTAGTTGGCTGGAAAGTAGGAGATCATGTCCTGAGTCTCTTTTCTTCCTTTTTCTTTCTTAATATTTCTGGACAACTCGAGTCAACCCAACTATAGACTTGGTACATTTGGGAACAAAACTTCAAAGACCTGAGCTGTCTCTTGCAAAAGCTGAGCAGAGGTCCCAATTTGCTGTTGACCTTTTCGGTTAGTATGTGAACAGGTAGGGCTGCGTTTTTCAGCTTTCTGCCACTTGTGTCCAGAAAGCTGTTTGCCCAAAATTGTCTTTCTGATTTTGCCCACACATACCAAGGTATCACAAAAGGGAAACGAGCATTGAAACTGCCAGGAATGATCTTTGAGATATCCAGCAACACTTCTAGCACAGGCATGGCCAGTCAGGGTACCCTCTTCCAACTCTGGGGGAGAGGGGTGGGCGAGCCCGAGCAAGGAGGGGCGTCTTGGGGAAGGACAGGGGCTTGAGTCAGCAGCTGGATACCAACCGATATGAAGCTAGTTCAGAGTTTATACATCTGGGATGACCACAAGGATGCGTTTCAGGAGAATATCTG